TTACTGTAAATATCTTTTTATTGCCACCACTATTTTAAAACATTCTACTATAAATACTATTGCAAAATGTTTGTCGCTACTACTACTACTACTATTGCTACTACTGCTACTATTACTACTGTTACTACTACTACTATTACCACTACTACTTCTGCTACTACTGCTACTACTACTACTGCTACTACTACTACTGCTACTATTACCACTACTACTACCACTACTACTATTACTACTACTACCCCTACTACTACTACTACTATTAGTAGTACTACTACTACCACCACCACCACCACTACTACTACTACTGTTGTTATTTTTCCTGCTAATAATACTACTACTACTACTATAATTAATTTTACTTCAGAGATTAAAATGTAAATTAAATATTAAATTATTGTAATTAGTAAATTGTAATATTGTAATTATAATATTGTAAATATTAAATTATCATTATTATTGTAAAATATTACATTGAAAATACTTGCAGAAAAAAAGCTGTCATATGTTGATCATAAACAGCCCCTTTGGGCTATTGAAATACTTTTTGACTAGTACCTCTTCTGTCACCAACAATATTACCACTACTATATTACTAATTTTTCAATAATACTTACAATAACTACAAATTCTATAACTAGTTCTCACCCTGCGGTCAAACCCGGCCACTACGACAAGAGAGGCACGCGCCTCACCAATCAGACCATCTGAACTGCTGATGCCAGTGCACTACTACAACTAAAACTTTTAATACTACTGCAACTATTGTTACTATTTTACGGTAATACTACTACCTCAACTATTCCTCTTGACTATTTCGTTGCTAAAACTGTATGGCACCTGATTGTTGGTGCTGATCGGCTCAAGTTGATTCCATTGCTCGTCTTAACAGTTTCTCAAATTCAATTTTGGAAGAAAAAAGTTATACAACTCGGAGGATCGAGTCAAGCGGACCTGCCTGCAAAACCGAACAACAGTTAAGAACAGGTTAAAAGCACAATAAACAATTGAAACATCGAACTGTTCAACAAACAAAGGTGAAGTGAAAACCACAGTAATAAATTTCAACGTAAAACAATCATACCATCCTATGCAAAAAAGAGACGACAATGATGACGAGTCTGATGATTCCCAGCCATCCATCCCTTGCCGTCTGTGTGTTCAACTCAAATTCTCAGATGTCATCTCAATAATCAAATCAAATCAAATTTTATTCAATCAATCCAAATTAATAATAATTAGGTAATGATTAGGAGACCAAAGCTAAAAGAAAACAAAATTCAATAGAATGTTCCTGGCTCGAACTAAACATGCGTTAAACAACAGAATTATTGGCATCACAGGTTTTTTTTCTCGAACAAGTTTATTTCATGAAACGCATAAAAAAACGAAACGTGAAAAAGGGCCCTAAAAAAGATAAAATCTCAAATATAAAAAAGGGGCCCTAAAAAAAGGGCCTTAAAAAAGATATAATCTCAAATATATAAAAAAAACCCTACATACTAAATATAAAAAAAAGTATAACTATATATATATATATATATATTATATGAATGTATGTGTGTATGTATGTATGTGTGTGTGTGTGTTTGTGTGTGTGTGTGTGTGTGTGTGTGTGTGTGTGTGTGTGTGTGTGTGTGTGTGTGTGTAGTTATAATGTAGTTATAAACGTTTGATTTGAAGATAGCTGAACCTCCAAGAATGATAGACACGTCTTAAAATATGATTTTTACGATAATAATTATCGTAATAATATAATTAATAATAGTAATAGTAATAATATAATTGATAATAATATTAATAATAGGTGATGATAATAATAATAAAATAATAATAAAATAATAATAAAATAATATAAATAAATTAAAACCAGATAATATTAGTAATAAACTATTGCTAAAGACACCCCAAGTAAAAACGTACAGCGACATTCTAAATTAAAGAGTATGATTTAATTAACCGATGAAATTAATATTGTTGAAGTAGTTGATTAGTAGTAGTAGTGGCAGTAGCAGTTGTGGTAGCAGTAGTAGTAGTAGTAGTAGCAGTTGTAGTAGTAGTTGCAGCAGTAGTGGTAGTAGTGGTAGTAGTAGTAACAGTGAAATAAGTAATAGTTGTAGAAATTGTGATTAGAATTATGAATAAAAATATACATTGTTGATAATATGTTGCCCCGGCAATAAATATTCATTCTTATTTAACATATTTAAATTACTTTCAGTTTCATGATTCAAACTTTATCACCAGTCTCTTTATTAATCCTTACTCTGCCTCTCAGCTTTGGAAGAGTGTAATTGACCTTTAATTGATCTTTAGTTGACCTTTAATTGACCTTTAATTGACCTTTTCACTTTTCTTATTAACTACCGAATCAATTGTTACGAATAAAATACAAAATTCAGGCTTCATGTAGCACCGTAGAGGTAGTGCAATAGCCTAGTGGTTAAGGTCGTCTGGTACTGAGAGCGCGTAGCGCAGTAACCGGGTTCGAATAAGACAAAAAGATGCCCGCCCATCATGTGCCTCGTGTGTGACGCATTGTTTAGCACGTATTCATTTGCGGTGGTTGGGAGTTGTTGAACTCTCTGAACCTAGGAAGGGTGCAAGTGACCTTTAACCTTTACAGCCGGCAATACTTTCAAAAATTTGTGTCGGTATTGATGTTCGGCGAAACTTTTTTTGGGTGTTGTAAACAACCCTAAACTCTGATTACTATAATAACTTTCAATTTTAGTAGCAGTATTTGTTATATAACCATTACGATTACTACTACTACTACTACTTCAACTACTACTACCACCACTGCCACTACTACTACGACCACCACCACTACTACTACTACTACTACTACTACAACTACAAATAATAATAATAGTAACACACATACTACTATTACTGAAAGTAAAAAAGTATTTCGAGCCTAGCGATATGATTTAATTGGCCAATGAAACTCCCTTCTGTCCGCGCTGCTAACGATGTTGTATGATACTCGGTGTATTTGTAATGATACTCGTTTTGTTTGTAATGATACTCGTTTTGTTTGTTATGATACTCGTTTTGTTTGTAATGATACTCGTTTTGTTTGTTATGATACTCGTTTTGTTTGTTATGATACTCGTTTTGTTTGTTATGATACTCGGTGTATTTGTAATAATACTCGTTTTGTTTGTAATGATGCTTTTTTTGTTTGTGATGATAGTTGATCTGTTTATATTTGTAATGATATTTGTAATGATAATCGTTTTGTTTGTTATGATGCTCGCGTTTTGTTTGTTCTGATACTCGTTTGTATTTGTAATGATATTTGTAATGATACTCGTTTTGTTTGTTATGATACTCGCGTTTTGTTTGTTATGATACTCGTTTTGTTTGTTCTGATACTCGTTTTGTTTGATATGATACTCGTTTTGTTTGTAATGATACTCGTTTTGCTTGCTGTGATACTTGTTGTGTTTATGATTGTACAATACTCATGGTTATGTATCATGATTGTATATCATTTATATATGCGTGTATCTATTTATTCAATCATTTGCCTTCGTGCGTGCAACAACGTCAACAGCAGCAACGACAACAACATTCGTTCGTTCATTCATTCATTCATTCATTCATTCGATCTTTCGTTCGTTTAATTCATCTATCTGTTTATTCTGTCATTTAGCTGTTTATGTTTAGTAAAGTAAATAAATTAACAAATAAATAAATTAATTAATTTAATTAATAATTCAATTAATTAATTAATGATTATTATTATTAGTCAAAGCGATTATATTTTCGAAAAATAATTTTTGAGATTCCGTCGTAGCTGGGAGGATCTGTGCTGCAGGGTGTTGACGCGTTCGGAGTTTGACAGCTGTCGCTTGTCGTCGTGAGTGGCCGCTTTGAATGGAGTGAAGGAAGCTTTTGCAGACGGTAACGCTGTACAATGGGCTCAAACTTGTCGTTGAATTAAAAACTTGTTTGCGAAACCACTAAAATCTACGGTTGAGCTGGCTTGTTGTGTTGTGTTGTTTAGTTGAGTTGGCAGAGTTTGATGATGGTAACTTTGATTTCAACGGTTTGCTGACCGACCTTATTTGGTTGTCGAAATGATGGTTATTGCGGCCCAAAAATTTAAGTTGTTTTAATTCTTTTTTCAGCAGCTTAATTGACGTTTTTGTACATCCGTCCGGTTTAATTTTATTGTTGATGGTGCCGAAGTTGGGGCAAAGTAGTTGTAGGTAGGTCAGGGTTTGGAAACCGATTGCAAACTGGTGAGATTTGGTAGTGTCGATTGTTGGTGAAGTTGAAAATAAGCGTTGGCCTCAAGCCATTGAGCTGGGCTTCGTGGAAGTCTGATTCTAAGGAAAGGCGTTCCAGCGTCTCCGACATTTTGTAGCGTCTGGTGGCTTGTTGTCGCCGGTGGTTGTTGAGCATCCGACGATGGCAAAGGTGGTGGCGACATCGAGGTTGATGCTTGGACGGCGATCCCTCATCGTTAGTTAATTGAAGTTGTTGATGCGCTTTGCACGAGTGTTGGTGCATTTTGAGTCCCTTGCGGCCTTCGCAGATCCCCCCGCAGCAGCATTAAATTAAATTGTCAATACCCTTATCGACAGAATGATTACTGACAGTACTTGAGTTGAAAATGTTGGCAGGAGTATCAACATTCGAATTTGCGGCGAGTGAATGTACA